TTTTTTTCTCAAGACGGAGTCTTGCTCTCACCCAGGCTGGAATGCAGTAGTGCCATCTTGGTTCACTGCAACCTCTGCCTCCCGGGTTCAAGCGATTCTCCTGCCTCAGCGTCCTGAGTAGCTGGGATTACAGGTGTGTGCCACCATGCTTGGCTAGTTTTTGTATTTTTAGTAGAGACAGGGTCTCACCATGTTGGCCAGGCTGGTCTCTAACTCCTTGACCTCAAGTGATCCACCTGTCTTGGCCTCCCAAAGTGCTGGGACTACAGGCATGAGCCGCTGCACCTAGCCTTTCTCCTGCTCTTGAGTGTTGCAAAGAGTAGTTATTTGTAAAACTGAGCCATCTTGGCATCCAGTGAAGGGTGTTACATCCTTTACATTTCGAGAGGATCTTATTAAATGAAGGCACAAGCACTGCGGACTATGGTGTGGCTCCAGCAGTTCTTGTTGGGGTAATACCTGAGAGGGATTATTGCAGAGAGGTTGAAGATTGTCTTGTACATGGGTATGAAGAAAGGAAAAAAAAAATCTCTTCACATTGCTGGACTTGCAACTGTAAAATGTTCTATATGGCACCTTAATACTTAATAATCTTTTATTCAAAAGAGTGAACTCTAGCTAAATTAACAAGAATAATAATTGAAACAGAATCAAGAAGAGAAAGCCCTGTATTCACATGGATAGATCGTTTCTGGAAAACTACAAATCAAACTGTTGCTCTTCTGTGAGTTTCCAAAGCTGGTGGGAGCTGCTGTTTTTTCACTTTTTGCTCCTCTTCCGGAGACGGTTCATCCCAACGCTGCACCTTATTGCCACTCTGATTTCTTCCATTTCTTTTAGCCTTGTTAGCAGGTTAATATTTTATTTATTTATTATTCTTTTTTATTTTTGGAGATGGAATCTCACTCTGTCACCCAGGCTGGAGTACAGTGGCATGATGTTGGCTCACTGTAACCTCCGCCTCCCGGGTTCAAGTGATTCTCCTGCCTCAGCCTCCCAGGCAGCTGGGATTATAGGCACCCACCACCAGGCCCAGATAATTTTTGCATTTTTGGTAGAGATGTAGTTTCATCATGTTGGCCAGCTGGTGTTGAACTCCTCACCACAGGTAATCTGCCTACCTCGGCCTCCCAAAGTGGTGGGATTATAGGTGTAAGCCACCACGCCCAGCCAATGTTTTATTTTTAAAAGGTATAAAAATCCTGTTGGAGCGGGATAGAACAATAACTCAGAGTGTAATTCTTTGTTAACATAAGTGACAGTCGCTTTTCCCCCCGGGTCTCTCCCAGTGATTAACCTGATCATATTATCTGAGGGTAGATTTTTCACTAAAAAAGACCCATTTATATAGGTCCTGATTTGTCTGGGTGGAGCCCTATGGCTTGTTTCACAAGGCCAGCTGCCCTTCAGTGTGAAGGTTGTCTGCCAGTGATTGCGCCTTGGATGTCCCATTTAATGTCATGCTTCTATGGCCATGCCCCTTCTAATGGGTTTGGGTCCTAGTTGTGTTCTCTTTCCCTAACCAAGCATCAATAATAATAAGAAAAAATGCCTTGTAATTGGGTTTTCATAAGGAATTAGTTTAGATAAGAATCAGAGGCCAGGCAAGGTGGCTCATACCTGTAGTATGAGCACTTTGGGAGGCTGAGGTGGGTGGATCACAAGGTCAGAAGTTCAAGACCAGCCTGACCAACATGGTGAAACCCCCTTTTTACTAAAAATACGAAAAAATAGCTGGGTATGGTGACATGCACCTGTAATCCTAGCTACTTGGGAGGCTGAGGCAGGAGAATCGTTTGAACCCGGGAGGCAGAGGATGCTGTGAGCCAAGATGACGCCATTGCACTCCAGCCTGAGTGACAGAGCGAGACTGGTCTCAAAAAAAAAAAGAAGAATCAGAAGACACAGGCACATGACCGAAGACCGTTGGGCTCCATTTTGTTCTCCATAGATGGTAACCGTGAGCCATACCCAGCACGTTGGCATGAACTGAATGCATTTTCAAGGTTCATCTACTCAGTGCTGGATCTAAACAAATGTTTGTTTGGATTTCCCAAATAATTCTTCTATTTTAAGGCAGAGAGCTCAGATTCACCAAAATAGTCCGTGTACTAACCGCTTTCATTGAGACTGAAGTCCTCGCTCAGTCTGGAATGTGCACTGAGCGTTGCACAGGGAGTGCATGGCTTTTCCAGGTCTTTTTCTCCTCAAAAGCATTATGTGGAGTTGGCTGGTTTCCCCACACCCTAGTATAAAGATTAATTATCTTCACACAGTTTGAAGTTTTCTTTCTTTTTTTTTTTTTTTTTAAATATAAAGATGGGGTTTCACCATGATGGCCAGGCTGGTCTTGAACTCTGACCTCAGGTGATCCACCCACCTCGGCCTCCCAAAGTGCTAGGATTACAGGCGTGAGCCACGGCACCCGGCCAGTTTGAAGTTTTCATAACCTCATGTTGGGGTTATACAGCTGGAAGAGACAATACAAGTTGATAAAGTCCCTTCCCAGGCCGGGAGAGGTGGATCCTGCCTATAATCCTGGTACTTTGGGAAGCTGAGGGCGGTGGATCACCTGAGGTCAGGAGTTTGAGACCAGCCTGGCCAACATGGAAAAACCCAGTCTCTACTAAAAATACAAAATTAGCCAGGCGTGGTGGTGCATGCCTGTAATCCCAACTACTCGGGAGGTTGAGGCAGGAGAATCACTTGAACCCTGGAGGTGGACGTTCTGGTGAGCTGAGATTTCACCACTGTACTCTAGCCTGGGGAACAAGAGCAAAACTCTTTCTCAAAAGAAAAAAAAAGTTCCTTTCCAACATTGTCCTGCCTGTCTTTGAATATCAGAGGGTAGCTACACATACACACACACACACACACACACACCCATTGCATGGTACATCATCCGGGGGAAAATCCTGTTGTGTAAAAATGGACAAAGGGCCACGAGACAGCATCGCGTGCAGGTACCAGGACGGGCATTTCAGCCTGGGTTCCCATGGTCTCCCTTCCTCTTTTGGACATTTGAAAGTGGAGTGAGGGGGAAGATGGAACAAATAGTGCTCCCACTATTATCAGAGTAAATTTTGTTGCAATTGGGATAATTTCAACTCCTAGCATTTACTGCCACCTTGGTCAGAACGCTTGGAGGAACGTGAAGGCTCGAGAAACGTTTTTCGATTTCCTTCAAGCACCGTGCTCTCAGTCCTTCTCAGCCGCTCTGGCCGAACCTTCTGAGCCTTCCGGTTCTTTTGACCATAGCAGCTGTGAGTCACTCCTCTAAACTGGTCGGTGGGGTTTGTATGAAAAAGGAGGCAGAGGCATGAGGTGTGAAAGGTGGTCTGGAGCAGGAAGATAACAGGGACTCTTCCAGGGTTTCAGCAGAGGCCTGAACCTGCAGAAGACCAAGAGTGAGTTCAAAGTGGGTATCCCGGAGCCTGTTGGGTAACTCACCCACATTGAAGAGATGAAAGTCAGGTATCAATAGTGAGGAACTTCTTTTTTGTTGTTGTTTAAGAGATAGGAGCAAGAGAGCTTAAATAATTATCTAGGACACAAAATAGAAAATTACCGATTGAGGCTGGACGTGGTGGCTCACGATTGTAATCCCAGCACTTTGGGAGGCCAAGGCAGGTGGATCACGAGGTCAGGAGTTCAAGACCAGCCTGGCCAACACAGTGAAACCCCGTCTCTACTAAAAATAACAAAAATTAGCTGGGTGTGGTGTTGGGCGCCTGTAATCCCAGCTACTCGGAAGGCTGAGGCAGGAGAATTGCTTGAACCCAGGAGGCGGAGGTTGCAGTGAGCCAAGATTGCATCACTGCACTCCAGCCTGGGCAATAGAGTGAGACTCTGTTTGAAAAAAGAAAAAAAATTACCGATTGAATAATGTTTGTGACTTAAAGCGACCCAAGGACTTTTGAGTACCACTGAGTGATTGGTGAAGTCAAGAGGCCTGCCATAGTTTTCATCCAAACCCAGGTGAAAAAGAACCCCACGGAACAGAGTTGAAGACAAGGGGTGCCCTTATTATGTGTACTTCTTGTTCAAAAGACTGGTTACATATGGCACGGCGGCCACTCAGAGATAAGGAATACAGAGTGAGTTTCCAGCATCCACCCTGTGTCGAGCATTGGACACACTGGACAGGTATTTCTCTACCTGCAAGGGGAATGTGCCGGATATGAAGGTGAATGGATTCACTGAAATCTCTCAAAATAAAGTTCTAGTGAAGTGACCGTCGTGAGGTCACTTTTCATGGAAGACATGCCGTTCTGTCATGTGAAAATGATGGGATCTCACCATTTCGGTCTTGCAGCAAGAAGTCCAAAGTTTCTTTGTGGTTATGGCTTTGATCTCTGTGCCGTGGATGCTTCTGATTAAGCCGTTCATTCTTAGAGCCAGTCTTCGGAAATCCCAGGTAAGGGCTGTTTGTTTCAGTTCACCCAGCTTTGCATAGGAATGTGGGTTTCTTGAAAGAAAAATCTGGGGTTTAGAGAGTTTGCTGGGCTGCCAGAGCCAAAGAATGGTGTTGAGGAACTGACCTGCCTGGCGTATATTTCCTTCTATGGAGCTAGACTTTTCCACTGGGTCCTCTTATTTCCAGCAAGATGCTCTATTAAGGGCAAGCACGTTTAAGCTTTATGTCTCAGCCGTGCACGATGGCGCACACCTGTAATCCTAGCCCTTTGAGAGGCTGAGGCAGGTGGGTCACCCGAGGTCAGGAATTCAAGACCAGCCTGGCCTACATGGTGAAACCCTGTCTCTACTAAAAATACAGACATTAGCATGGTATGGTGGCACGCACCTGTAGTCCCAGCTATACACGAGGCTGAGGCAGAAGAATCACTTGAACCCCCGGGGCAGGGGGTGGTGGCAGAGGTTGCAGTGAGCCAAGATCGCACCACTTCACTCCAGCCTGGGCAAAAAGGCAAAACTCCATCTCAAAAAAATTAAATAAAACTTATGTCTTGTAGACTTTGTTCAGGGTGTATGTGTGCTGAGTCTAGTGGTAGTTAATTATTTATAAGGATCTGAATGCGGTGGTTTCATTAGTCATAAATAATATTTTATCATAGTTTTACTTGTAAAACAAATATTAAAAGTTGTTTTTCATTAATATTCTAAGGTTGTGAGACTTTATTGTTACAGATTGTGTCGGAGAATTAGAAGGGTAAACAAATTGAATTAGGTCAGTTCTTGTTTATTTGTGATTTTTTTCCTGTTGCCAAGTACCAGATTGAGCACACTTTCTCTTTTTGTCTAAACTGCCCCTGAGCCTCATGTGTACTCAGGGGGTGAAGCAGAGTTTAATATCATGCTGAACCAAATAGGATTTAGGAAGATTAACCTTCCAGAGGACATCAGCGTCTAGCTATAACACACAGACGGTATGAGATGGTTGTTCTCTGCTTTCCTCTGTTAGTACAAACAGTTAAGTGGAAAGTGCTGAGACCATGTATGTTTTAAATGGTTGTAGATGTGTTCAGATTCAATTGTATTTTTCTAAGATCTTTGCTGGATATTGACCTGGAGGGCAGCAGAGTCAGGGGCTTAGACATGACGAGACTTGAGTTGAGGAAGTTTGTCCCTATGTGACGCCTGCCTCTCCTCCCGCTGTCTCCTTATTTCTTGCCAGTCTGAACTAGTTCCAAAGCTTAGCTGATACATGATCTATATGAGATTTTCATAAAGAGGAAGACAAAGCAAGGAAGACTTGGTTATTGTTTGGCTAACTGGTGAAAGATCAAGGTGGTTGGTGGTTGAGGGCTGTTGAGGTGGATGCTTGTCCAGACAGGTGACCAGCTCTTCAAAGAGGGTGACAAATACCTGTTGGGAGAAGTAGATGCAAGTAGATGCAAGTTTTTTGTTTTTTTTTTAAGACGGGGTTTCACCATGTTGGTCAGGTTGGTCTTGAACTCCTGACCTCAAGTGATCCGCCCGCCTTGGCCTCCAAAGTGCTTGGATTATAGGCGTGAGCCGCCACCACGCCCGACCCATTTGGTTTTTTTTTTTTCTAGAGACAAGTTCTGTCTGTCTCTGAGGCCAGAGTGCAGTGACTATTCACAGGCACAATCATAGCTCATTGTAGCCTCTGACTCCTGGACTGAAGCCATCCTCCTGCCTCAGCCTCCCAAGTAACTGGGCCTACAGGCATGCCACCCTGCCTCAGCATTGTTTTTTTGTAGAGATGGGATCTCACTATGCTGCCCGGCTGTTCTCTAACTCATGGCCTCAAGTGGCTATAATTTTTTTTTTCTAGGATCTAAATCTGTCCATAAGCCAAGAACCGGGTTGCTGCAGCCTGTCCTGAGTCCCAGGACTGTAAAATAATAGCTTGTCTTGCTCTGCACCACACAAGCTCTTTAAACAGTTGCTGATCTCAAAGTGGTAGATTTCTCCTTAGCCCTGCCAGGTGACTTAAGCAGAGCGAAGGAGGGAGAGAGAGGGTTTTTCTAGTCTGCCTTCATGGATGATAGTTCTGAAACTGACTGGTAACTGAAGCTCCTGTCTCCTTGGCCCTAGAGATGCAGGGCTGTTGACTGTTTCCTCAGGCTGCTGCCTTGGGTCCTGGTGTTTCTTTTTCATGTTAGAAACATCTCCATTCAACAGATGGTTCTATAATGGTGTTCTTTGCCCCTCTCCACCTCTCCTTTATGAAATCTTACAGACCTAATACATAGAGATAAACAATTTGTTCTGATGGACTTCAGGTGATATGAGCAGGGGTCCTGTCTATTAATTTGCCTTTCCTATAACCCTAGGTTCTGGGTTCCTGCAGAATGCGTCCTGGGAACCTCTCCACTAGAGGGCTGCTGTGGCATCGCCCTGGTGGCATGCCCTGTGGGCAGCCAATGAGTATACATCTCCTTCCAAGAGCCCTTGTGGCCAGCCACTGGGCATCCCACATTCTGTTTCCCCTTCCATCTTGCTGCTGTGAATCCAGGTCCCCTCATACTCCCACGTCTCAGGTCACAGTGAAATAACTGTGTTTCTATTTAAAATTTCCATGTTGACATGTGCATTTATTATGGTAAATGTTATTGAAATAAATAGCATACAGAGAAGTGCATGAATAACAAGGCAGCAATCCGTGAAGTATCACAACATGAATGTGTTCATGTCACCAGCACTCAAATCGAGAAATAGGTTATCCTTAGAACCTGAAAGTCCTGACCAGACACAGTGGCTCACGCCTGTAATCCCAACACTTTGGGAGGCTGAGGTGGGTGGATTGCCTGAGGTCAGGAGTTCGAAACCATCTCGGCCAACATGATGAAACCCCGTCTCTACTAAAAATACAAAAATTAGCTGGGCGTGGTGGTGGGTGCCTGTAACCCCAACTACTTGGGAGGCTGAGGCAGGAGAATCTCTTGAACCTGAGAGGTGGAGGTTGCAGTGAGCTGAGATTGCTGCCATTGCACTCCAGCCTGGGCGACAGAAATGAAACTCCATCTCAAAAAAACAAAAACTCCCTTTGTGCCTTCCTCCTGTCACTCTTACCCCAAGAGCAAACATTGTCCTGACCTCCAGTACTGTTGGTTCATTTTGACTGTTCTTGAACTTCATGTGAATGAAATCATCCAAATGTCTTCTTTGGGATCTGTTTTCTCGCATCCAACGTTGCAGTGTTAGAAATTACAAATAGTGATATTATAAACATCCTTGTATATACCTTTTGGAACATAGGTTTTAATTTTTTTTTTTTTAGATGGAGTCTCTCTCTTTGTTGCCCAGGCTGGAGTGCAGTGGCGCAATCTCGGCTCACTACAACCTCCGCCTCCCAGGTTCAAGTGATTCTCCTGCCTCAGCCTCCCCAGTAGCTGGGACTACAGGCATGTGGCACCACACCCAGCTAATTTTTGTATTTTTTTTTTTAGTAGGGACGGGGTTTCACTATGTTGGTCAGGCTGGTCTCAAACTCCTAACCTCGTGATCCACCCGCCTCGGCCTCCCAAAGTGCTGGGATTACAGGTGTGAGCCACTGTGCCTGGCCAAAGTTTTAATTTTTTTTAATTTTATGTATGTATTTTTAGATGGGGTCTTGCTCTGTTGCCCAGACTGGGGTGCAGTGGTGCGATCATAGCTGACTCATCTCCTGGGCTCAAGCAATCCTCCCACCTCAGTCTCCTGAGTAGCTGGGACTGCAGGCTCGCATCACCATGCCCGGCTATTTTTAAATTTTTTGCAGTAGAGATGAAGTCTTGCTATGTTGCCCAGGCTGGTCTTTAACTCCTGAGATCAAGTGATCCTCCTGCCTTTGCCTCCCAAAGTGCTGGGACTATAAGTGTGAGCCCTTGCGCCCAGCCACATGTGTTTTTAGAAAGTTGCCAGTTGCTTATTTACACTGATTGCTATATGTTTTACTTCATACAGCACCCAGCTTAAGCCTTGTGAGATTTGAGTGGGAGGACTGCAAATGTATCTTTTCTGGAAGGAAGATAGTCACTAGGATTCTCAAGTCCGATGTCGACCACGCGAGGGGGCTCACACCTGTAATTCTAGCATTTTAGGAGGTCCTCACGTAGTAGATCACCTGAGGTCGAGTTTGGGACCAGCCTGGCCAACATAGTGAAACCCTGTCTCTACTAAAAACACAAAAATTGGCTGGGCGTGGTGGTGTGCGCCTGTAATCCCAACTACTTGGGATGCTGAAGCAAGAGAATCGCTTGAACCCCAGAGGCGGAGGTTGCAGTGAGCCAAGATCACGCCACTGCACTCCAGTCTGGGTGAAAAAGCAAAAGTCCATCTCAAAAACAAAACAAAACAAAAGTCCAATATCACACTTTTACAGAATTGTTCGTGTTCATTTTAACTAATTCAAGCATAATGAGCAGAAAGAGTTAGACTTTAGGGATGGAAATGGAGAAGCCATAATATATTTTTCCTTTGATATTTTCTTCTTTAAGTAGAAGGAGAGAGAAAATGAGATTTCCAGATGACAAATAAAATGTTAACTTGAGCCACACCCCCCATGGGATAAAGAACCACAAGGGCTTGGGGAAGGGCACCCTGAACTCCTGTCTAGATGGACCTGAGCCAACTTCTGGGTCCTACAGAGGCCTTGTTCCTCAGTCTCCTGAGGGTAGACCAGGCCACTGGCATGGGCACCACGAGTCCCTAGGTAGCCAGGGGACAGCTGTCTGCGGGGAATGTGGGTGGAATGTAGACATTTTGGGTCGGGGGGTCTGTGTACACATACAAGGTCCTCATGATACAGGATGAAACCAGAGGTGAAAAGAAGGATCCCTGGTCTGGGGCCAGCTCCCATGCTGCCATGGCATGGCGTAAATACTGAATTTGAACAGAGACTTCCCAGTTTTTACAAGAATTTATTTTTTAAGCTAGGAGGTGAGAACTGCCCCTCCCCCACCATCCCCTTTTTTTTTTTTTGAGACAGAGGCTTGCTTGGTCGCCCAGGTTGGAGTGCAGTGGTGCAAACATGGCTCACTTCAACCTCAGACTCCCAGGCTCAAGAGATCTTCCTGCCCTTGCCTCCTATGTAGCTGGGACGGGGCACCCCCAAGCCAGGCTACATTTTTTTTTAGAGATGGGATCTCCCTTTGTTGCCCATGCTGATCTTGAACTCCTGGGCTCAAGCATAGAACATAATTTGTCTAGGAATTTGTTGGCTTGTTGTATAACTTTTAAATATTTCAACACATGGCCTGTGAACTACCATCTTTGCCCTTTCCCAGAGCCCTGCAAATGTTGAATGCAGACCTGCTAAAGAAAGGAGGGTCCTGGCTGGGCTCACACCTGTAATCCCAGCACTTTGGGAAGCCCAGGCAGGTGGATCACCTGTGGTCAGGAGTTCAAGATCAGCTTGGCCAACATAGCGAAACCCCGTCTCTACTAAAAATACAAAAATTAGCTGAATGTGGTGGCACGTGCCTATAATCTCAGTTACTCAGGAGGGCTGAGGCTGGAGAAACGCTTGAACTCGAGGGACGGAGGTTGCAGTGAGCTGAGATCACACCACTGCACTGCAGCCTGGGCAAAGGAGTAAAACTCCTTCTTAAAAAAAAAAAAAAAAAAAAAGGAAAGAAGGGGATGGATGGATATGTTGATGCCTAATTTACAATATCCCACCCATGAAATCATTCTAGAAAAACTCTGGACATGGAACATTAAGCTTCATGGTGACTTGAAAGAAATATACCATTCAAATTTAGGGGTAAAACCAGGCCAAGTTGAATGGTGACTAGGCCTAGATTTTTTTTTTTCCTCGACTTTTTTCCTAAGCTATTTTTATAGTTAATTTCACAAGGTGACACGGAAGGTATGACTGATGATCTATGACTGTGTATATTTCTTCTGACAATGGAAAGGCACCTTTGTATTTGCATTGCTTTATTGTCAAGACTACATAATCTGGCCCATTCTGCAGCATTGTGCGGAAAAAGCGCATGCCCTGGAGCCAGGCAGCTGGGTTTGAATGATGGCTCTGCCGCTCACCAGCCTTGCCAGCTGTGTGATCTTGGGTACATTTATTTTAAAAAAAAATTTTTTGAGACAGAGTATCACTCTGTCCCCCAGGCTAGAGAGCAGTGGTGTGATCTCGGCTCACTGCAAGCTCCACCTCCCAGGTTCAAGCCATTCTCCTGCCTCAGCCTCCCGAGTAGCTGGGATTACAGGCATGCACTACCATGCCTGACTAATTTTTTGCATTTTTATAGAGATGGGGTCTCTCTATGTTACCCAGGCTGGTCTGGAACTTTTGGCCTCAGGCGATCCTCTAAGCTTGGCCTCCCACAGCACTGGGAGTGTAGGCACTTGCCACTGTGCCTGGCCTTTAATTTTTTCTTTTTTTTAAGATGGAGTCTCACTCTGTCACCCAGACTCGAGTATAGTGGTGTGATTTTGGCTCACTGCAGCCTCTACCTTCTGCGTTCCAGCGATTCTCCTGCCTCAGCCTCCCAGGTAGCTGGGAGTACAGGCACATACCACTACACCCAACTGATTTTTGTATTTTTAGTAGAGACAGAGTTTCACTCTGATGGCCAGGCTGGTCTCAAACTTCTGACGTCAGGTGATCCACCCACCTTGGCCTCCCAAAGTGCTAGGATTACAGGCGCCACTGCACCTGGCCTGATTTTTGTATTTTTGGTAGAGACACGGTTTCACCATGTTGGCCACCCTGGCCTTGCACTCCTGACCTCAAGTGATCTGCCTGCCTCAGCCTCCCAAAGTGGTGGGATTACGGGTGTGAGCCACCGCGCCTGACTGGGCACATTGCTTCACCTTTTAGTGCCGCAGCTTACTTCTCTGTAAAACAGGGTGATAACGGTGCTTACATAAAATGGCTGTTGTGAGGGCTTAATGAGCTAGTGTAGTGTTTAGAACTGTGTCTGATACATAGTTAGGATTTGAGGAGAGACCCTTTATTTGTGTAGGATTGTTAGAATTCTCAGGGTGAGTTGAGCACATTCCTCATTTCCCTGCTTGTTGTCAGCTGCAGGCGTCCAGGATCCAAGAAGATGGCACTGAGAACATTGAAGGTGACAGCGTCAGCCCTTCCAGTGGTTCTGACCAGAGGACTTCTGCAGATGCCCACGGGACTCAGGACAACGATGAGGAGGAGGAGGTATCTGGGACGAGAGCCCCAGAGGAAGACCCCCGTTTATACACATTCAAGAATGGACACTGGCAGTAGAGCTGGGTGGGCCTGGAGGGTCCTACCGGGCAGCAGCCCTGTCACTGCTGAGTCCTGGAAGGCTGGGAAGGTCTCAGGGAAGGGAATCTAATAGTTGGTCTAAGAGGATCAGAACAGCGATTTATCAGCCAATCTGGGTATATTTCAATATTTTAGTTCAAGTACTGCTGCATCTACAAGTGTGGGGTGAATATCAGCCTCAGATCTAGTGACATAGAAGGTCCTGCATGTCACCGAGGCCTCCTTGACTCAGCACCACACCCCTATGATCTCCTTTTTTGAGACTGAGTTGGCCGGGCGCGGTGGCTCAAGCCTGTAATCCCAGCACTTTGGGAGGCCGAGGCGGGTGGATCACGAGGTCAAGAGATCGAGACCATCCTGGT